CGCAGTTTCAAGGTATCAGTAAAGGCTGGTGATTAAGGAACCTCGAGTCTGGAACATTCTAGTTAAAAAAAAAAAGTTCTTTTATTTTATAAGAGTTACATTATTAGTACTATGAATTGCAGGGGTGTTTTTTTCAAGTTTTAATACAAAGAATTGTTAATTTGATCCAAAAAATGAGTTGGAAACGGGTCATGATCAAAAAGTCACTTTAAGAATTAACAAAATCTCTGAACTCGGAAAATGAAGAAGAGTATTACACTCTAAACCAATTTATATATATGGAGCTAAGTTTGGCTTTTCTTAAAGGCTTATGGAACTAAGTTCATATAGATAGAAATAAAGCTCCAATAATTTTTTATAACTCTACTGTCTATTTTTTGCAGCATATAGTTCAAGTGATTGCTAAGTTTATAATATGTTACTAAATTAAATTTAAAATGTTTTTATCATGTCACTTTTTAATATTTCTAATCCTCTTATGAAACAAAAAAGGTTAGGAGCAATATAATTAATGTTTTTCTTCAATATTTATGTATTGTAAATAGAATCAACAATTTGAAATCGTTTTTGTTTCAAGACTTTTTTTTTATTGCGTTAAATATTATGTATGCTGATTTTTTTATATCTTTAAACTACACAACTAATCATTAACGATTTATCTTCATGTTTTATTCAATTCAACCAATATTTTGAAAAAAAACATGTAAAAATAATATAATAAGTGTTTATAGTTTTACACCACTTTTGTGACTTTGAAAAAGAACTAATAAATGATTTTTAGACCCAGGTTTTTAAATAGAATCACACAACACAAAGCATTTTAACGGGGAAGATTGTACGTGTTTCGCCTCCTAGAAAACATGGGGCTGACCTTACGTAGGCTGATTTTTTATCGTTTTCGCATTGCTCCTTACTTCAATTATTTGAAGTGAAGTTTTCATGTGTAAGCTCGCTTTAGTGGGGAAAACTAATTTTAGTTATCTGTTAGTTTTGCTTCATAGAATATTCTTGTATATTTCTTTTATGTTTTTATTACATACTTCAAAAGCGATGAACAGAGGACCATTTAGAATTTAAAACAATAAAAAATTAAAGTTATGTTTAATGGAACAGAAAGCAATTTGCAATATAAACAAAGTCGTGGTCACCATTTCTATTAAATCTACCACCAATTTCTCTCGTTGGCTTTGTATTGTGTGTGGTAGGATCCTTCAGCATCTTACTCTCTTCAACGGGCTTCGGCTACGGATATGGCCCATGATGTTACTTCTACAGTTCTACTTCCATTCTTGTAGAAAGCATAAGTACTACTGTAACATTTGTAACCAACACTGAGCTATGTTCTAGGCATGTCACTCGAAGGTGACAGGCGGAAATATAGTTGCTTTCTCTCCTCTTGCTCCAAGGATTTTCTAGCATCGTAGTAAGCCATCATGGTGGTATTATCACCGTCATAACTGCTTCTAGAGGCTAAACCTTTGTTGAATGCCATGTACAGTGTAGAGTTGAGATGCTAGCCATCCGCATCATCATAACCTGGTTTCGATTCTAACATTACCCTCTAGATAGAAGCGTGGACACGCAAGATCTTTGCAAGTAAATAAAAAGCTGAATTCCAAACTTTTTCGTTTCCATTAAGATGTTGAATATCTTTTCAGTGGAATCCTAATTCAATTACGTTTCCTTCCCTAGCTACTTATTCACACTCACTTGTAGTTAGGCCAAGAACTATAACTGAACATCTAGGAAGATAAGCTGCAGAGAGATTTGTAGTGAAATGAAGATTAAATGAACTTAAAGAAAAGGAAAGCTTATAATAATAAGGACCATCACCGACGATAAAACTGAGATAGAATGAAACAAAAGCAGAAGGAAACTTACGTGAATTTAGAAGCCTTGTTCCAGTCCAGGGAAACCAAGCTCCACTTTAGGAAAGCCGTTGTATCTTTTCGGAAGACACCGATGGGAATTGGAAGGTTTTTTTTGAAGACTTTAAATCTAAGCCTGTTTGAAAGCAATCAAACACAAACTGAAATAAGATTAATCAACAACTAAACAGATGATAACAAACTGCAACCAGAAACCTCTCTAACACTAACTCAATTGTTGTATCACTGAATTCTAAGAACATGAAAATGAGAACCGAGCAGCATAGTAACACTAAGATTATAATCAAGCTCACATATCTCAAAGGAAATAATACAGATGAGTATTATAATCCCCAACTACAGTGTTGTAAACTCAGTAATATCTACCTGGTTTCCGACTTTCCAGCAAGAGAAGGACTTGCCTTGCCGATAGATTTGATGCTTCCGGTGCAGTTAAGACCAGGGTAAGGGCTAAATCCAGATGATGGGGAGAAAGAACTAAGTACTGGGTTTTGGTGACCTCATCGAAAGAGGTTGAATCACTGAAATAAATCAACAGAGAGGTCTGAAGTTCTGATTAAACCAAGTCACATCAAAGCCGGTTAGGGAATATATTGAACCCGCCTTGAGATACAGCATAAGCAACAAACGGTTTCAAACTTTCTGATTCAAAGGATGTAAAACAAAATCTGAATAGGAAAGCTTGATAATGAGGATTTAACAGGCCGGAAAAGTTTTTTAAATTACGAAGGTAAGCTTTAAAACAGAACAACCTTTGAATCTTGTAGAAGCTCGGTGGCTGACGTTCCAGACTTCAAATCGGAAGGGGAAATTGATGAGTTAAAGACAATGCATTTGTAACTCTGAGCGATTCATCTGATTAGAAGAGGAAATGGAAGGACGCCATTGAAGACCAACAGATAACTTGAAACTCAATTGTCGTTCAGGAACGGAGAAGACGGCTTTTGGTGTCGTAGACTGAAGAACATATGGGCCTCTTGATATTTGGCTCAACTCTGTCATCAAAACCAAAAAAATGAAACGCAAAGGAGTCCAGAGTCTTAACGAAACACAGAGTGTTAGAAAAAGGGACACGTGTTGCATTGATATTAAGTGAATTGTTGACATGGCAGTCTAAGAAGAGAGAAAACTCTCTTTTATATATATAGATGTTTGTTTGTACATGAACAATTTAGTATATATGATACAATATAAGGCGCATGTGTTCTATTTTGATCATTTTAAGTATCTTACAAATACTTATATTATTTTAATACAAATATCAAAATTAAATAGCTGGATGCAAAATCACAACCCAAATCTTAATTATTGTTTTTTAACAAACTATAATTTGATTTATATTAACTAATTTTTTCCATTGTACTATAAAAGATGTTGATTAGCACATTTTTTTCCTTTATGGGGGGGGGTCAATAGGAAAATTTACGTATACACAAATATATAACAAACGTTTGGTATCCAATATCTACAATGTCTTCTATTTTCCTTCTTGGAAAATCGATGACAAAAATTAGGAACTTCATAAAAAAACTAAAAATATTTTAGAAAATAATTTTTAGTGGAGAATAACATATATAAAATAATATTTTATAGAGATATTTAGTTTTCATAACATAAGAACTTCATGAAGTGTTTAATCGGTAGAAGCTGTTGATTTAATTGCTTTGTTTCATAACATAATTTTCCTCGTGATTATGAGTTATTTTGACCTTTTTAAAAATAGCTATAGATTATTTAGAGAATGTTAATTCCGAGAAGCTTGAATGAAGATAAATTGATATATTTAAAATCAAATATCTATAGATAATGTTTTTTTATCAACATATCTAAGAGAGAATTAAAACAAATAATTGGTCGGATTTGCTCAAAGATTATGGTGAGCAGCAATGGTGGAGGAAAAGTTGCAGTGATTGACGCCTTTTTATTCAATTTTGGTTAATAGATTATAAATTTTTTGGATAACAAGAAACAAATATGAGAAAGAGAGAAACCAGATCTACTTTTGGGTCTTGCGTACGGATGATGGAGCGTGAGCGTCCGTGCCATCACCGGAACCCTTTCTTTTCTCTGCTAGTTTCTTTTTATGCTCCGTTCTTGTTGCTTTTTCCTCGTATATGGTTTGGTTTGGAAGTTAAGGTTCTGTTTCTGGGAGATGGAGGTTACCATAGATCCATCGTCGTCGGTTTTCTTTGGGAAGTGAGGTTTTCTCAGATCCATCGTTGCCGGTTTAGTTTTCGGGAAGAAGAGACTTTTTTATCTCCGCCTTCGCCGGCCTTTGGTTACGGAGAGTGGAGGCTCGCAAAGTTCCATGCTGCCGTCTTGGAATCCGGTATCTTTTGGATTGTGGCTACTAGATCTGTATGTGTAAAGTTGTGGTCTTGTCTCTTTTCCTATAGCTGGTTTCTTGGGTCACTACAGATGAGATCCCGGTCACGGTGAAGCTCTCTGATGATGGCAATGACGTAGAAGAGAAGGAAACTTTCGATTCTCGGTCCGTCTATCTAGGGTTTGTTGTGATACATAATCGGATGAGATCTCGTTGTTACGCTGGAACTCTCCAACGTGAATGTAGAGCGGTGAAGAACAGATTGGTTTCGTCGGAGGCTCTTCGATTTCCGAGATCCGATGAAACAAAGGTTAGGTGATGGTGATCCAGCGGTGATGGTCAAGTTGAAGCGGTAGCGACGCGTGTCGATCTGAAGGCGTACATTTTTCCACGTGTTGAGCCTCCTTGACGCATTGCTGGCTCGTTGTTTGGGTTCTTTGGTTTGGGCCGATGGCCCGTTTATTTTCTTGTTGATGTTTGCTTGTAGACTTTTTGGGCTTCGGGCCACGTTTTGTTGTATTTGGGCTTCGGTCGTTTGTTGGGCTTGGCTCGTTTGATCAATATAAAAACTTGACGGAAAAAAATAATAATAAATATGAGAAAAGCCTTTTTTGTTCAAAGAAAAAAAAAACAAAACTGAGAATAAGGAATCAGATAGCCTTATCTTACCTAATCCACGTGACATCTCATAATTGGCATACGAAATCTCAGACATAAACCCATTTCGCCACGTGTCAGAATAAGATCCATCCATGAGTGAAGTAGATTCTCTACCTGTGCATATTGCAAACACTCCACTCACTTACTTTGGCAACAAGAAGAAGGAGAGAAGTCTTTATTTGTTTGTTGGTCTGAGAAACATGGCGTCTTTAGCAACCATCGCCGCCGTTCAACCCTCTGCCACCGTCAAAGGACTCGGAGGAAGCTCACTCGCCGGAGCTAAGCTTTTCATTAAACCTTCTCGCCAAAGCTTCAAACCCAAATCCACAAGGTAAACTAAAACCCTAAGATTTAGAATCTTAGATTGATATATTGATAAGAATGTTCCTTTTGGTGTTCGTATTAGAGCTGGTGCTGTGGTGGCTAAGTATGGAGACAAAAGTGTATACTTTGATTTAGAAGATTTGGGTAACACAACAGGACAATGGGATTTGTATGGATCTGATGCTCCTTCTCCTTACAACCCACTTCAGGTTTGTGTAAAAGAAAAACTAATTCTCTTTATATGCTTCTTCAAATTCTGAGACAATGATTATGATTGTGAGACTTTACTTGCAGAGCAAGTTCTTTGAGACATTTGCTGCTCCTTTCACAAAGAGAGGTCTGCTTCTCAAGTTTTTGATTCTTGGAGGTGGCTCTTTGCTTACTTATGTCAGTGCTTCCTCGACCGGTGATGTTATTCCTATTAAGAGAGGTCCTCAAGAGAAGCCTAAGCTCGGTCCTAGGGGCAAGCTTTAAATTAGCTTTCTACCCAATTCTGTGAACCCTTTTTCATGATCTATGTATATTGTGCTGCGTTAATTGCTTTGGAAGCTAGAAATTATGAGAATCAGTTATGATGAATCAATGAAGATTGTCTTTCTAGTCTGTTACAAGAAAATGAAACAAGCAAATCTAATTTGTTACAAGAAGTATCTTGCGGTTGGTGTCCTCATGGTTCCCAAGAGCTGCAAGATAAATTAGGAACTGATCTGCATCAAACATCTCTACTGTTATCATTTTGAATATCACATTTCCCAAGCTAGCTCTCCCATTCTGTTCTTGATAAAAGGAAAAAAACATTGATAAGGACCAGATTTCTGATGAATGTTTATGTGTGCTGTTGAATAAATAACCTTGGAGAGTGATCCCAGCCTCCGAGGTAGCTTTCAAGAATCTCCATTTCAAACAGAACTTGAGCTTTTAAGGACTTGATTAACACATTCCTTTTGGCTCTGTAGAAACCTTCTCGATACCTAGGAGAGGCCATTAGTGGGAACTTTATCCAACGGTAACCACCATTTTTCATCGTTTCTTGTGTCGCAAGAATCAGGAGAATCCTTTTTGACATAATAAACTCGTTTTGGCCCTTGAATTTATTTATTTTGTTTTTTTAATAGCAAAAGGTTTGGGTCAAAGCACATAATCTTCCAACCCCCGAAACCACATCATGTAATATTAATTGCATCGGCTAATTCTGATTACTCTATATACCATGGGTATATTGTTGGTGGAGATTATGTGTGCAATTCAATGAAAAAGATATTTAAAGATCTTGTACATTGCACTTTTACTGATCACCCAAAAGCCAACACATCTTCATTGAAACCAATCCCATCTTGGATCTATTCACAGACCTAGCTAGATTTTAAACAAAGATACAAAGAGCAGAAATAAAATAAAAGATCATGATAGGCTCTTCAAGCTTTTTCAGACAGATTTTCATAGAAGGCTCTTCGTCATTAGGGTTTTCTTTTGTTAAGGAGTAGAAGCGCCTTTGAAAATTAGGAACTTGAGGGTCTCCAGTTGAAAATAGATGAATGTGCCTTTAGAATGTGTGAAGAAACACCCAAAGTTTGATCCCACCACACATTGCCATCCACTCCCATATATCTCATCAAACTCCTGAATTCAATTACAAACATAAAATCATCCAATTAACATAGATTCTAATAAGGATGCTAATGCAGTAAAAATATACATTTGAGTCATCTAAAATATTTCTGCATGTCCATGAAAAGACATAACCATGAACAGAAACGGTCCTGAGGGGAAGTCAAGGAAGCATAGGCTTCCGGTTTTTGGCCAAAATATTTGGCTTTTGACTAAAATATTTGATAAAACTTAGTGGTTAATGAAAGTCAAAATAAAAATATAGATAATGGGTTCAATTTCTAGATATAAAACAATAGACTTTTTTTATTAATTGCTTCCGGTATATAAATACTCAAGACCCGCACCGATCATGACACCGCTACAAATTGTCAAACTAGGACTGGAGTCATTTGAGAGTGAAGATTTTAACCACGAGGCTAAGGCTTATGGTGACAATTTAACTAGGAATATGTATGTAAGAGTTTGATGATAAATGAAGTGAGGAAAAGGCTACCTTCTTGATGTGGCCAGCAATGGATTTACAGTCAATGACATCAAATAGATCAAGAGCTTGAGAAGCAAAAGACATGGCTTGAGCCTGCATCTTCAGTGGCATATCTGAATCTTCCACCATTGCTTTTCCTTCCAACATCTTCGCAATCCCTCTCTCTCTCTCTCTCTTTTCTCTCTCAAAAGACTTAATTATTTAGGTTATCTACAGAGAAAACAGACAACGAAGCGTTTGGGGATCCTTATAGACACCAAAAGACACAAATTGAAAAAGATTCCCCTCAAATTATATTTTTTTTCAAGAAAAGCCCATACAAAGATAAAATGTGCCTAACCTTTTGTCTATGTCGTAATGCACGAACACAAAGTACTCGATGTTGTTCTTTAATGGCGAACTCAAAATTCTTTTTTTTTTTTGGTTAATTAGTCTAAAAGTTGATAATGATGAAGCTGATAAAAGGCAACGAAGCTGGCTGAGATAAAAAAAGAAGAACTAACAGTAAGAAAACATTTTATTTTGGGAAAATATTTATCTCTTTCTTACGTGTTTCCAAGACTTTTGTTTTGTTTATGGATAACGATGGAGCGGTGCATAATTAATTACTTAAATACTGTACATGTGAACAAAATCTGTGATTAGGTAAGCTTCCACAAAATCCGTAAAAAATGTCGGTGCAGCCGTTAGTATCAATAGGCCCATTAAAGAAGTTCAGGGTCCATTTATATGATATGAAGATTCACAGACTATAGCTGGGTAGTTTTTTACTATTTGTTTTCCGGATTTTGATTTTTTTGTAAATGGTTAATAGATTTCTTTCAATACTCTATCTGTTCCTTAAAGATACATATTCTAGAAAAAAATTTTATTTATAAAAGATCTATTTTTTATAGTTTCAATGCATGTTTTGTTAATTAATTGTAAACTTCAAAAAATTTAATTGCACTAATTGATTTTTTATTGATTTAAAATTATGGAAATAAGATTTTTTTTTAACAACATGGAAAGAAAATAAATACAAAAAATAATGCAAATTTAATATATTTTATTAAAAAGTGTGAAAAAACTAGAATGTGAATCTTTTAGGAATAAAGAGAGTATTATTTAATTTGAGAAATTAGAAATGTTTTGAAAATTGGATTAGATATCGATTTTGTATAGCTATTTGTGAACTAATTGGACCGGTCCAACCAGATTGTATATTTTCAGAGGTATATTTATATAATCTATACTATTAAAACACAAGGCCTTTTTTTGAGGTGCCCTTGGTTTTCAATAGTAATTACAGCTGAATGCCACTGCATTTTTTTTTAAGCTATGATTTGTATCAATCGGTTTTACCCGATACAAGTGGGTTTGACCCGAGTTTAAAAGATTGACAGAATCTTTTATTTTCGAAACAAAAAAAATTGACAAAATCTTTTATTTTCCAAACAAAAAGATTCAGTTAGCATTTTTTTATAGAATATCCTTTTAACTTCAGCTCCAACTTCTGTTCACGTTTATGAAGTCCAAAATTAAGACTGAGGTGATTATCCAGATCAATGGTTTCTATGTTGGGTGTGAGGCGAACCAATCAAGGTATGTGTATTCTTTCGGTGATTTCTGGTATCGACGATGATAACTTCGATTGAGATCTAAGGTTTTTTTTTTTTGGTCAAAGATCTAAGGTTTTTCAACGGAGAAAAATCTGCACATCGGTGGTTTTGAGAATGTATTCAATCATTTATTAAAAGAGAACGAACGTTACAAATGAAAATAACAAAAAGTGGAATCTTAGAAATTTTCGGAGTACTTTGAAGATTTTTAAACTTCAAAAATCTGATTGAATTTTTTTTTTCGAGATTTTAAGAAAAAGTTAAAAGGCTCTGAAGTCTAAACCCAATCTTACTCATTGTTTTGCAGATATCACTTGGTTTCTCTAATCTTTTTGGTAGAGACGATATGTTAATAGCTATTTGAAATGTTTAGTGGTACATACATTATTCCATATATACGAAATATGGATGATTTAATTTGTAAATCAAATTAATTTCATCGTACCATAAAAACAAATTTAACAGGGATAACTTAAAGTGGAATATGCCATTGTAAATAAATCCAAGCGTTCAGAAACCTTATAATAAATATAAGATTTGCATCATTATTTTCACGTACCATATATAACTACAATTATCATTATCATATTTCTGCATTGTATACGGATCACAAATTCATTTACGGGTCACAAATTCATTTTGATATATATATATGTATGTATGGGAATAAGCTAAAATTTCTTTAATATGGTCATTTTCTCCGGTCACAAAATATTTATTAAGTATAAACAGTTTAAACAGATATATTAATTTGTTTTTTATTATAAACTAACAAACGGATTAATAGTTTTATTAACAAAAACGAAATCCCATTTTTCAGATCGCGGATCAAAATCTACAATATTTACAGATTCATGCCATTAGAATATTCAAAACCTATGATTTTTATTTAATTCATAACAAAATATATTTAATCCTAACAAAATCTTTTTACTCCAACAATATTAGTTTTAAGCTTTTTAAATAACCAAATAACAATATAATCTAATATTTTAACCCCTCCTTAATTTTAGGATTGATTTGTTTGTTCTATAATTGTTTTAATAGCTTAAAAACTCTAAAACAGAAATCAAATATATTTCTTTGTCTTTTATATCTTATTTAAACTTGCGATTAATGTTGTTGCTTCCAAAGCGCGGATCAAATAATCAATACTATTAAAGGAGGTTAAAAAAATAAACCATACATTGGATCAAGATTTACAAAACCCATTTTAAATTGCATGAAAAACTATTATGTGTAAGCATTATTATCATTATTAATTAAATCAAATTATGAAAATTTAATGAAAACAGATAAATCTATCTATTTAATTACTATTTGATTACTAAACAAAATTATATTTATAGTTGGTTATTTTTCTTTAAATTAATTATTTAATCATAGCCCACGGGTTCCTCCCGTTTGACCCGTTGCAGGGTTGGTGCGGGTCGATCAATTTGAGAAAACTAAGTTACATATGTGGATGTAAGTTAAGTGTATTTTATGCGGAGCGGATGTGGGTTGGGTAAATTTATATAGCGGATACCCGCTAATCTGAAAAGATATAAAAATATTTTCCTATAAAAGTTTTATTTTTTAAATATAATAAATTTATGTAATATGAATTAAAATATACAAAAACAATAAAATTAACAAGGAAAAAATATTAAATATATTTCCTATTTTAATGTTTTGGCATATACTTTTATTTTTATATATTAAACTTCCTTTACTATATATATGAGTCATATTATGTTCTCTACTATGAATATAACTTAAGTTTAATATATATAAGAGTCAAAATTTTCATTTGTTATATAGTTTACGGGTAAAAATTCATTTGTCATATGTACTGGAATAAGTTAAACTTTTTTTAATGTATTCATTTTTTACAGGTCAAAAACTATTTATTAAGTTACAAACGGCTTATACAAATATATTTTTCAAATATGTTATGAACTAACAAACGGGTTAATAGTATTATTAACATAAAACAATCCCGCACTTTCAAAATGCGGGTCAAAATCTAAACTAATATACTGGAAACATATATATGTGCTAAACTCGACTGTCTTAAACTAGGATTGTGCCATTGAAATAAATATATTTAATATTTAATTTATTAGATGTAGTTATTATTTATGAACACTATTTTCCTCCCTATTAATTAACCTAACAAATACTATTTGTTATTAAATACATCTTTGATTGAAAGCATATATTCTTATTTGGAGTATTTATTTTAGAAAATGAATCTTTCTTTATCAAGTAACAATAAATATTTCACATCATAAAATAAAGTTTTTATATTTAAACTTCTTAAATTTTTGGTTACAATTAAAATCAAATAAATACACCAAATTATGATTCTTTCAATATATATATATATATATATATATATATATATATATATATATATATGTGTGTGTGTGTGTGTGTGTATGTGTGTGTGTGTTGTTAACTAATTAAAATTTTATGCATAAAATGTTTTTTGAATGTAAAAATTTGAAATGAATATGTCAACCTATTTTTAATATACATAAAACCATATCTAACATATTCCTTCTACATCACGGTTTCTACCAAGTAAATAACAGCGATCATAAAAAAAAAAATTTAAGTTTTAATAACGATCATATTATCAATAATAAAATTTAAATAATACTGAAAAACGAGTAATATATTTTGGTGTTCTCTATCGCCTTTCTCTTTTATTTTTTTATCAGACAACATAGTACTTTTTTTAGTAAAGAATCACAAATCAAATATACTATTCAATTTCATGTACTCATTTTAAAATATATAAAATTTTGATCAATTTTTTAGATCACTAATTTTATCTTAGTTTTACACGGGTCAATCAGTGCCAGGTGACATGTTACTAACGGATTTTGGATTCTTACCAAGTTTTATCAAAATTTTAAATAGCGGTGAATTAGTTAAATTCGAACCGAAATATATACATATCACTAAGTTTGGTTGCTCAATCTCAAACCCGTGTCGGGTATGAAAACACTGCTCAACACAATTATAAATGTATTAAGTTGCAAAATTTCAACACATGTAATTTTATAATTATCAAATCTTTGTTTCGTATAAATCAATTTATAAAGAAAATATATCCCGCTCTTGAAAAAATATGTGGTAGTCGCATGTCCAAGATATATTAAAGAGATATTGTCGGTATATATGTGTTGGGCTTAGATCGCTAATATGATGTATTGATTTATTTACGGGCTTGCAATAATCATTCGCAGTTGTATTTTGAATTTTTATGTTATTTTCTTATATAATTGTTTTGTTAATCATATTTTCTAAACACACACTGTCTATATAATACAATGTCAATTTTTATGACCATAATTTTTAAAATAAATAGTCGGTTGTATGTCTATTTATTTTATATGACAATAATATCAACCAGATTATTTATAATAATACCCTAAAATTATTTATTTATTTTATAAGAAATAAGTTTGAACTCGGAATATAAACTATTACAAATCAATACTTTAGATTATCGAATAGAACTCATAATTTCATCGAGTCCCTAAAATTTGTTATCTAACTAAAACGGATAAGAAAAATCAATCTTATATCACACATTAAATTGTACGTAATCGTATTTAATCTTTATATGTTGGACCAAACCAAAATTATTAACGACAATCTATCTGAACCCGGATACTCATGTCTATACATACTTGTGAATAATCAAACAATGGCATAAATTTAAAGCAAAAACGGTTGTCCCGCCCTCTTTAAGGGCGGGTCAAAATCTAGTTAAACTCTTAAAATAAAAATAGTCTTTAAAAATAGTTAGATAAACTAATAAAATTAATTAACCGATGAATCTTCACAACAGATAAGTTGTTAAAAAAAAAAAAACCTTCACAATAGAGTAGAAACCAAAATAAAGATGCTTAGAAATCAACCAAAACTTGTGATACGTTGACCTGCTTTGAGTTTTTTTTTT